GTAGTGTTTTCAACATGACTTCATACTACATTTTTTTTGTTGATGTTTCATCTTTCCAAAGCTGTGCTTCTGGTTGTCACTGTGAAAAAAAAAAAGTTCCACATGAAAATCAATGTAGAACAGAACACGAGGTTGCAATATTTGGTTTGATTTGAAGGTTTGAAAAGTTGTGCAATGCCCAACAAGCACACACATACTGTTATTAAATATTTGTAGTTTTTTAATTTATATGTATTCTTTTCAAATGGTTACTAAGTGGCTAGAATACAATATGTACTATGTTGTCTGGACCTAAATACTTAATAAGTAGAACTATTGATATTTCATTTGACCTAGAGGTACTGTGAAAAGATTTCTGAGACATTAAGGGCTTTGCGAACTGAGAAAGTTTAGAGACTTCTGCCGTAGGACTTTATCCTGTCTGCACTCACCATGTGAAAGAAGAAAGAGAGCTTTCTTAAAAGCCACCACTGGTCCGCGTCTGTTCACATCCCAAAGGCAAGACCTTGTTGCAAGTCTACACCAACTGCAAGGGAGTCTAAGAATTGGAGTGTAGACAGATGCCAAGGCAATAGGTGTAGAGTGGATTTTGGGGGACAGGTAAACTCATGAGGGACTGAAATCCACCAGTAGCTATGTGGATGGCATGGACTCCAGGCATATTAGGGGGAAAACGCCCTGAATTAGAGACAAATTAGTGTGTGGGGAGTGAGGAACTGTGAGGACAAGTGGACCTGAAGTTTTCTGACTTGTTTAGGGAATATTGACACCTGTCACACAGAAAGGGAATCTGGAAAATGAGAGGAAGTTTGTGTTGCTGTGCCTGACTGGAGAGGGGGCAGTCACGTGATACAATGTCATACAGAGAGAAACTAAATGAGATTTAGGTACCAGGGAAAAACCTAGAATCGTTTTTGTCACACCCCTAACAAAGCAAGCGGTCTGTAAGATCCTCGCCCCACAGCTATAACATAAAAAGAGAAAATGAATTTTAAAAGCAACCACCATAGGCATGTTCACCCAAAATAGGTGTTGGTGAAGCTGTTTACGTCTTGAAGTTCTATTAACTACCTAGGTTTTAAAAAACTATCATAAACCGTGAAATGGAAATACTATTGATAAAAACTCCAGACAGTAAGTCATAGTTCTGCAAATGCTAGTGATAAAGATAGTGCCTTATTCCCTTCTGTATCTGTATAGAATGGTGCCCTGCACATTACTAGGTGCTTCTTGATAACTGCTGATAAAAGAGCACATCGATCTCAATACAGGGAATTATGACTGGGCGATGGGCATTGGCTGTGGCAAACAGAATTATTGCTGAATGGTGCAGAAGCAAAATGATAAAGGAGTAGAATTTGAACAAGAGCAGACAAAGTTATTTCCCTAAGCCTCCTTGTTGATTATTTTTACCATTGCCTTAGTAAGGGGGATAGAGGCTTATACCAGAATACTACAGCTATATCTGGGTATTACTTTTGGAGAAAATATTATTGCTCACACTTCAGTTTTATCTGTATATTGCTTTTAGTGGTGCCACTAGAAAGTTTATTCCCCTCAGGAAATAAACAGATGCTTTTCCAATACTCATTTCAAGTTCCTTCTAACATCCCCTGGTTCAGCAAAGCTGTAGGGATCAAAGCTGGGTTTCTGTGATGAATGGCTACATTTTCAGTCTCAGTTCTTGCCACCCAGACAAGGTCTTCTGGCATTTTCTTCTTTGTGTAGTGACATGAGGGATCTACCAGAATTTCTTTCATCTCCTGGGAGTTTGAGAATAAATTAGATTAGTGGTAGGGATTTACAGCCCATAAATATTCCCTAGTACAAATAGTCATGTGAAACAAAATTACGATTGGTACTTATCTCACACAGTGACAAGGAGGACTGAATTAATATCTGTGCGTTTCTTGGAGCCACTCAAGAAAAAGAGGATATACAAATATGCAGTACCGAATATAAAAATCTGAGACCGCCCTAAGTGTGTGATATATAGGTATGCAAATTGATAATTTTCTACTGTATTTTGATTGATCTACCAGATAAAACAATAAGCAGTAGTATTTAACTGTTTGTTAAATCATAGACTCTTTTGAGATCTAATGAAAGCCATGGGCCTTCTCCACAGAAAAAATCTGTATACAATTTCAGAGGAATTCACGGACACCCTGGAGTCCATCCATATACCCTACGTAAGAAACCCTGAGGAAGATGTTGATTCAGATCAGGTTTTAGTAATATGAAAATCAAAGATCACCCTCTGTTAAAATGACATTTTATAATCTGTGTGCTTGTCAGGTAAGGGTCATGGAATAGCAAACAATGTCCTAACCTAAAAGTCATATGTTCCTATGAGTTATCTAATAATCAAAATGAAACCATATTCAGGATATCAAAAACAAGAAGTGACTCACCTCAGTGAAACTTTCCCTCTTCCTGAGCAGGATGGCTTCAGCGGTGGGCATTTATACTTGAGAATCCATAAGGACCAGCAAAAGGCACTGGGCAGGAAATCCAGTAACTGTACTTGCTTCAAGAACCTTTGGGCAAACTGATTGTTTACTTGTAGGTGGCTGTATTCACATTTTCAAAGTTGTTGACGTGGTTGAAAATCGGATTCTTCAAGTTAAACTTAAGCAAATGGCACAGCTAACTTTGAAGATAGTCTCATCTTCAGTATTCTCCTAGAGAAGTTAACTGCATTCTTTCAGCTACTTGTGGACCTTTTTGGTCCAAAAATATTTTTCTGAGCATCTTCTATTGCCAGACTCTATGCAATTGCAGATTGCTGAGCAAATTAATGAAATATTGTTGGAGGGGAGATCTTTTATTTTTGCATGTCTTTTTGGATAACTTTTTGGCCAGTAACTTATGTTGAGTAACTATTTAAATATGAAAAGTTAGAGCTACTGTGCTAGGATTAGGATGATCAGATGGTCTGGTCTGGGGGTCCAGCTGAACAAGGGATGAAAAATATGTCTTGTCCAGCTGGTGGGTGAGAAGAAAAGAACATTTTGGAAGCGAAGAAAGACCCCGAGACAGACAGGTATCAGGTGAGGATACACCAGCAGCTTGTGAGAACTAGTCATCAGTGAGCTAGGGGATTAGCTAGTGCCCAGGTTAGGGGGCTAAACACCAGTTAGGGGCTGTTGTTTCTTCAAAGATAACTGAAAGGACAATGTCTGGGGTCCCATTCTGCCTGAAAAGGAGAGGGAGGGAGGATAAACTTCAACAAGAAATCATACTTTTTAAATAATCAGGGAAATGTGGGACTTAGATCTATACTTGGTTGGCCTCCTCCTTCCATGGATACCTAAACACCCATGAGTCCAGCGTGAGCTTGACCTGACTGAACAGAGAAATTAAAATAAAAAAATCTCTGACACCTTTTAAGATTATCCAACATTTTGAAGCAGTTAATACTTTTTAAAATATTCTCACATACATTATCTAACTTAACCTTCACAACAATCCTGTGAAGACGATAATACTCCCACTTTTTAGATTAGAAAACTGAGACTTGAAAGTTGGTTTGTTAAGCAGAACTTTGTATCTGTCGTAAGTACATTAAGTACATGAATTTTCTTCCTCATGTAACTGAATGCTAAAGATTTTCAGACTCATCATAAATTAACTGCTAAACAAGGGACACATGAATGTGTAGATGAAATATTACCAAGAAAAATGCTGAAAAATAAAGCCAGCCTCAGGCAGAATCCAAGTCCCTAGGGTCACAGTAAATCAGTAAATCTGTTCCTCTCATTTTGTTACAGATGTCAGGGGCACATATTTGACTTTTTCTTATTTTATGAAACTTGATTCATTTCAAAGGAAGGAACAGATGGAAAACTAACAGTGTAGTCACCATGGATAACCAAGAAGCACAGCATCCAGGGAGCCCTGGGGACTCTCCCTGGAGAAGCCAGGCAGCCTGCTGCAGTGAGTCTGAGTTTTATTAGAACCTTACTGAGACCCCGCTGGAATTCAGAGCTGGAGGAGCCTGTGCTACCCATGTCAAGGGCAGCTCCCCCATCCTACTTTCAGCTTCCTTCACCCTGACAAGAAGGGTAGCCTTTCCTGGCTGCTCTCCTGGTCCAGCTCTCTTTTTCTGCTCTACACGAGAAACAACTATATTCTTGTCCCAAAGGAGAGACTCCCAAATTGGGCAAGTAGCAAGGGAATTAGCAGACTGACAGCAAGAACTATTTCCTCTCTGCTCAGTCCTTTGTATTAGTATCTCAATCACCATATATAACATCACCTTACTCAATTATCTTGCAGCCTCACTCTGAGTATGAAGTGTTAGTTCTATCCATCTGTCCGTCCGTCCGTCCGTCCGTCCGTCCATCCATCATCCATTAGTTCTATCCATCTGTCCGTCTGTCCATCCATCCATCCTTCCACTGAATAACTATTGATTAATTGCTAAATACTAGGTACCTTGCATTAAACAAGACAGAATTGAATAGCTATTGATTAATTGCTAAATACTAGGTACCTTGCATTAAACAAGACAGAATTAGTCCCTGCCCTCAAATGATTTATATTTGAGTAAGGAATACAGATTTTAGGCAATTAAAAATGATAGCAAAGATGGTTAGTGATGATTAGAGAAGCAAAGACTACCTAGGAAAAAACTGCTTGAAAAATATTTGCAACTGGTTCATTAGGTCCTAGAGAAACCAGCCATATTGCCTTAGGCAAGTCACTAAACCCTCTCTGGGCATTAATCTCTGAACTACAAAATGAGAGAATTGAATTAAATGGTGTTAAAAGTACCATATCTCATTGATGTCAAGATGCCATCACTTGTAAAGCACATTGTTATTTTACTTACCACAGAAATGCTGCCAATTAAATTACAACATAATGCTTTCTAATCACTAAGTTTTCATTTTTCTTTTACTTAGATAGCACTCAAAGTTCACACATGAAAAGGAAAATGTAAGTTGAATAAACAGGTTAAGGTACCCCCACATCTTCAAATTCACTTTCTTAACCAGTGGTATTAATGTCCATATTTTCCACATAATATGGTCCTCTGGACACCAAGAATACTGGTGACACAGGCTTCTTAGACAATGCTTTGTTGTTGTCTCTTGGACTTTCTTCCAAGCTGCTGAGACCCATTTGGCAAGTTTTGATGCTTATGGTTTTCTGATCTTGATTTTATAGGAAAGTGTCAACAGAATGTTTTAGGTGACAACTCACGTTCTTTCTTCAGATGGTCCTTAAATGGTTTATTGCCTGAAACTTCAAGAGGTTGCATTTATCCAATCATATTACCAGGAATTACAACCAAATAAGGACATGCATAGTCATGAGGATATCACAACCACTGCAGGTTCAAGAACAACTATAAATGCATCCTGGTTTCATGGTTTTTAAAATGCGTGTGTATGTGGAGGAGGGGGTGTCTTTGAATAAATGAAATAGAGTATATTCCTCCAAACTCCACTTTCAGCTGAAGTTCTTAAGGTCCTCAAAGAAGGGGGAGGCCAAGTCCAGCTCTAAGGCCCTTGTCCCACCTTGTTACTCTTGTGTTCTTCCATGTAAGATTTTGTTTGCAAAGAAGTTTGCACTGTGAAAAACAGGTGTAAACCCCTCAGATGACAGGTGTGGCCATCCCCAGCTCTGGCATTCTGTAAGTCTCTAATAATAATGCATAAGAGAAGCTACTGATTCTTAAATTTCCAGGAATTCCACTGCTGCAAGCTTCTTCCAAAGCCTTGGGAGGTGTCTTAGCAATATGTTCACATGGCCACATGGTTTTTAAAATTTGAAAAAGATATTTTCGAGCTCTTAAAGAGTTGCTTCCTCTCAAACCATATAAACTTCAGGTGCCACAAAACCTAGTTCTTCCTTCGATAATGCCATTGTACATCTTTATGGTACTTAATGAGTTGCCAAGTGAAGTCACATACATTTTCTCATTTGATTCTCACAGAAACCTAGGATTTTAAACATGAAAATTCTGAAGCTTTTCAAAGTTGGGTGACTTGCCTAAGAACACCATTTCAGGAAAATCATTTTGTTAAAACTTAAAGCCAGGTGCTCTAACTCTACTTTCAATCTTTTTTTCCACTATAACACTTTGGTTTTTCTTGAGAAATTGCTAAAGTGACTCTTCTCAGAAAATTTTTTTCCAAATTTAATAAAAAGTTGTAAGACTATTTTTCTTTGACTTCTTGAATGTCAAAACATTAAATAAAACATTTATTTTTTGAATAAAACATTAAAACAAATTATGGTTCAAGTGAATCGTGAAAGTTACTTTCACACAATGGGTAAAAGAATATTTACTGCCAAACTCTGATTTGGAAAGTCACACCAGTTCCAGAAAATAACAACTTTGTGTTGGAATTCATGAGACACAGGCTCTGCTGAATATCTAAATAAAAGGCTTACCCTTTTCTGTTGTTGTTGTTCAAACTTTGTTTAACCCGGTGATATATGCACATATAGGAACATATTTTTTGTCATATCTGGAATCTGGATATATATTTCCTGAAAAAAAATTACTTCTTTTTTTTCCATTGTATATTTTCCTTTAAAAGATTAATCATCTGGTCCGAACACAATATCTACCCTTGTTATCAAGCACAAACAGAGCAGAGGGCAAGTTCTTTTTAAAAGCACACTGCCCTACCAATGCCTTTAAAATCCATTAAAGAATAATCTCACCAAGCCCATGAGAACATTACAATAATTGCTTCTCTTACCCAGGTGCAAAAAGGACATATCTGTCAACTAAAGAAGTACAGAAGCAATTAACACCTCAACACTCTACTGGGAAATTGCTTAAATTAAAGAAATAACAGGGATGCTTCATGATTATTGTATTTCTAATATTTAGTTACTAGCATGGCTATAGAATGCCTCAGTCATTCTCATCTACCCTCCTCAGTGCAACGGGGCCAGGAAATAGTGTGTGCATGACTCAGGGTGAATTTGGGTGCTGGCATGTGTGGCACACATGGTTCTTTGGTCACACTTTTCAGAGGCTGAATCCAAAAACACGGCTGATACATGCAATGACAAAATCAACATGCAAGGCTATGTATGTGTTACATAAATAACCTCTCGGGCGTAAAAAGCACATTTCTGGATTCTGTGCTACCACAATGGAACTGCCTCATCTGTCCTCTTCTAAGGCTGGGCTACTAAACAAAAGGTTTATATTTATTAAGCCTTCTATACAAAAGCAGAAGCATATGACTAAGCTGGGAGTGAATCAAACAGGTAAAAACCCTCATTCGTCAGCAGCAAGATATAGAGAGAGCCTAGAAGTCCAATCCATCATTTTCCCTCTCCTGGGAGACACCCAGTAAAGGTTTATATTCAACCTTTATTGAGTGTAGTCTAGGTACACAAACCTGATTAGGGTTTTGAGAGACACAAAAGCTGAAAACAAGGCCTGGCCTCCTGCAAATCTTAATAAAGGTAAAATGTATTGTTTCTTTCTTCCTCAGCTCTACACCCGAAGCTTCGCTGCTATAAGAGGGACCAAAGTCACTCCTGGAATTCTCAGAGAAAAATCATGTAGAGTATACTAGTGCCCATTTTTATACAGGTGAAGTCAGGTAAAAATGAAAAAGATAGCAAGCAAGAAGAAAAGCAGCCATGAACCCAAAAAGATGCTAGAGGAGACTTTGGAGGAGGAGGGCAGTTCATTCACCTTGCCTGATGACTGAATTAAATCATGGATGTTCTTGAAAGTCATCTGGTCCACGACCTACCTCCATTTAGTTTTTATTATGTGTCTACAGTCATCATCCAGTACCTGTCTGAATACCCACAGTGTGAAAAACTAATCCTTTCAGAAAGCTATTCATGTCTTCCTTAGCAACTTTAATGAATAATAGCTACATTTATTAAGTATTTTATATGTACTAGGCCTGACTTAGTATGCTGTGCCCAACGGAATCTAGTGCCCTGATCCCTAACTCCCGATCATTATTCCCTTTTCTAGAGTATGGATGTAACCTGTGACTTGTATCTAACCAGTAGAATACGACAAAGGTGCTGGGATGTGTGTGAATATGTACATGTAATTATGCACATAAGACTATAGTGCATATCTTGCTGGAGACTTTACCATCCTTGTGGGCTTTGAGGAAGAAAGCTGCCACGTTGGGGCTGAGGGTTGCCTCTGGCTGACAGCCAGCAAGAAACTGAAGCCCTGAACTGAATTCTGCCAACAACATGAGTGAGCATGAAAGCAGATCCTTCGCCAGCCAAGTGTTGGATGAGACTGCAGCCCTCACTGACACCTGACTGCAAGTAATCATGCCTAGATTATATGTGTTGCTTTTAAGCTGCTAAATTTTGGTAATGTGGCTCCATGGCAATAGATAACTAATATACAGTGTCCCCTTTATCCACGGGATGGATGCCTGAAACCACAGATAGTAACAAACCCTACATATACTGTGTTTTTCTTTTATGTACATACCTACAATAATTTACTTTATAAATAAGGCACAGTAAGAGTTTAAAAACAATAACTAACAATAAAATAGACCAATTATAATAATACACTATAATAAAAGTTATGTGAATGTGGTGTTCTCTCTCTGTATCTCTGTCTCTCAAAATACTTTATTGTACTGTACTCATCTTTTCACTTACAGGAAGCACTTTATGGCTTCTCGTTGGCTTATCTAAATTACTAGCATTGCTACTCTGACACTTTGGGGCCATTATTTGGTAAAATAAGGGTTACTGAAACATAAGCACTGCAACAGTCGATCTGAACACTAAGATGACTACTAAGCAACTAACGGGCGGGTACTGAACTCAGTGTAGATACAGTGGACAAAGGGGAGATTCACTTCCCAGGCGGGACCAAGCTGGACATTGTGAGATTTCATCACGCTACTCAGAATGGCACCCGATTTAAAACTTATGAAGTGTTTGTTTACTTCTGGATTTTCCCATTTAACATTTTCGGACCATGGTTGACCTGGGTAACTGAAACTGTGGAAAGCAAAACCATGGATAAGGAGGAACTATGTAGATGCTTTATGTGCATTAACTCACTTAGTCCTCATTATTCTCTCATTTTATACAACAGGAAAACTGATACATGAAGCATGAAATTAAACAACCAGCCTAAGTCCACATAGCAATAGGTGGCAGGGCTGGAATTCAAACAAGACAGGCTAACTCCAGAGGCTGTGTTCCTGGCCAATAAGGTTTACTCTCTTTCTCTACTTCTTACAAAGTTCTATATTAAGCTGCTTCCAAATCTCACTCCCTAAAACAGCCATACAGCTTGGGTCAAAAATCCAAATGCAGGTGCTAAGCAGATACATTCAATAAATGAAGCAAGCTCTGTGTAACCTGACCAGTAGGGTGTGAACATGAACTAGGGTGAAGAGCATAGGAGCTGCCTCGAGGTATTTGCTGGCCAAATAAACACTGGCTGCCTTCAGCCAGTGGAATGACGCTGGTTGGTGATGCTGACATACGAGTTCTAGTTATGCCACTAAGATCATGGAGAACACATTGATTCCTTTTCCATATCACTTCAAATATTTAAAACCAGTTATCATTTTTATTTCAAATCTTCTATTTTCTTCTACTTATATAAATGGTGAGATCCTTGCATTTTTGTTGTTTTTTTTTGCAGATGGTCTTTTTGACACATGTATAAATATTTAAAAGGTTTTGGCTCTGTGTGGTATCAGCTGGCAAAGATGTCTCCTCTCTTCCATCTGCAGGGTTGCGTTTGGTATGTCCACCAAGATATTATTCTGCCAGGTAGCTCCAATCCACTAAAATTCCTTTTGCAGTTATAGTATTTTTTTTTTAAAAAAACTAGCTAGGTATTACACAAACACATTTTAGTATAAGATTCAAATGATACAGACGTATATGGAAGAAAGCCTGAGGGCACCATTCCTTGCTCTCCCTCTACTCTCATCTCATCTCATAGAAACCACCCTCAGTGTTTGAGCCCAACCTTTTATTCTCTGTGCAGACACTAACATTTAACCTAAATAAGATTAAACAACACAATGATATTTTCAACGTAACACTAACACATAACACTATGTCTTTGAGATCTTCCCTTGACCTCCTTATAGATAGATAAGGTAGGCTTCTTATAAGGTAAGTTTGTAGGT